GCGAAGAAAGAGAGAAGAGAGAAGAGAAAAGAGAAGACAGTAAGAAGAGCGAAGAAAGAGAGAGTGAAGAGAGAAGGGGGGAGAGAGGAGAGAGGAGAGAAGAGAGAAGAGAGAAGAGAGGAGAGAGGAGAGAGGAGAGAGAGAGAGATAGAGCGACAACGACGGGCAGACACAGAGAACGAAGGAAGGGAATGAAAGACAAATTTGTATGTAAGTGTATGTCTACATATACACGCAAATATAGATAAATAAATAAATACACACACACACACACACACACACACACACACACACACACACACACACACACACATATATATATATATATATATATATATATATATATATATATATATATATATATACATATATATATATATATATATATATATATATATATATATATATACACACATATATACATATATATATATATATATATATATATATATATATATATATATATATATATGTAAACACATACATACGCATATTATTGATACACAAACACACGCACACAAACACACAAGTGTGTGTGTGTGTGTGTGTGTGTGTGTGTGTGTGTGTGTGTGTGTGTGTGTGTGTGTGTGTGTGTGTGTGTGTGTGTGTGTGTGTATGTGTGTATGTGTGTGAGTGTGATAGAATAATGCATATCAAAACATGAATCATTATGCAAAATAAAAAAGATCTTTAGTTTTATGAATAATTTTATCAGCGCTACTTCACTGCCAAATGGCAGCGAACCGACATAGCTGCAAAGTGACGCTTGACAGCGAATCGGCTTGGCAGCAATTGTGGTTCGTGGTAGTCCAGGGGTTAACTGAATATTTCATAATAAAAATTGTATCCCCCCCAAAAAAAAAAAAAATAATAAAAGATCGTCAGTATTATGAATATTCATATCAAAACCATTTTATTGCCACCTGGCAGCGAACCGATATTGCAGTATGGTAGCATCTGGCAGTCTCCTTTATACCTTTCCTCCCTTCTCCCTCCTCCCTTCTCTCCTTCTCCCTTCCCTTCTTTCTCCCTTCTTCCTCCTCTCTTTCTCCTCAGTCCTCCCCTTCCCCCCTACCTCTTTAATCATTTCTAATAACGTATTTTTATATTGTCTTTATTGGTCAGAAACAGAATCATTTTGAAAATTTGATCCTTATGTGTTTCGAAGTTGCCCCTGATATTCATGATTATTTTTTTTAGTTTAGCTTCAGAAATGCTTATTTCCTAGCTTAAACAAATATATACATATTTTTGCAAACACTGATGTGCTTATCAGGTATTTTTGAATTTATGTAAAAATTAGTAATGTTATTTTTGCTAACAATCAAAATACTTTCAGGGATCGAGAGTAATTCCGTAGAACTGCTAAGTTATCCATCACTATTTTAGTTATCCCCGAAATTTGTCATATTTGGATTATTTTGAGAAAATGGGTATTGTATTGTGAATGGGTACTGCAAAAAAAGTTATAATCATTACATTTCAATAATTTTGCTTATATTTGGCTCACGATTTACTAACTTCCGATATATGATCCTTATATGAATAATAAAGAAATATATATATATATATATATATATATATATATATATATGTATATATATATATGTATATATATATATATATATATATATATATATATATATATATATATATATATGATAATGAAATATTCCTCTTCAGTATATACAGCATATTATGAAGATACATGTTATACGACATCATGCACAAAATACAACCTGCTTTTATCTAAACAAACAAAAAGAAATTTAAATAATAAAAAAAAAAAACAAAACATAAAAGAAACGAAACATGATAGAACAACTAGGAAACATATGAAAAAAGATAAGATATGAAACGAAGGAAAAACAGTACTACGGTCAATAAACTAAAAAAGAAACTAAATTTAGTTATAAATGACCGATGATAAGGAAATATTCAACAAAGATAATGCCCCTCTCTTTAATTCAAGTCTATGCGACTCCAAGTAATAGGAAAAAAATGTGGGAATCACAGACAGCTACCATGAACGCAGTGCACGGTTTGCTGTGAGCTGGTGTGCCGGGACCCATGGCACAACTTACGGAGATAAAAGATAAAAAGACTTGGAAAGGCGCAGGACACTTGCCCTTACTGACAGGATGTGGTCCATGGTCAAAGGGAGATGTTGTTTTCGTTACTGTTATATTATGCGAGCGTGTGTATATGTGGTAGGGTATTACTACAATATGATATTCTTTTTCTTTACCAATGTCACTACTTATCATGTCAAATATATACATATGTGTGTCTGTGAGTACCAAAGTCAAAGAAAAGGGAAAAAACAGCAATAGAATAGAGAAACCTGTAATTATTATTGCTTTGATGTTCGCCATAAATACCGCTCTGAGACAATGCTTCGGACATTCCTTCTTGTTTACGTGTTTTATTCGCCTTTGGAAATTCCTGCCCGACGCTCCCTTCCCCGTCTCAGTAATACCCCGCTCGGCACGATACTTCG